CCTCAAACAAGGGGGATTTTCCCCTTTTTTGTCGCTGTTCCCTCACCTGGAATGCCCTTCCCCATCCTGACCACTCCATCCCCAAAGGTTTCTCCCAGTGCTGGGAGCTCTCCCACCCCTCTGCAAGTTCTTTTCCCTCCACCTGATGCATCTCATTCAGTACCCCTCCCCCAAGCCTGCACAGTCCCAGGGACCAGGGGAAACCTCTAGAGCTCATAGGTAGGTGACTTCATGATGGAAGACAGGCCAGCTGCCCTCACCCACAGCACATGCGCCTCCAGATTGGCCTGCACACACCCCTAGCCCCTCCACTGCCCACCCTGCACTTTGCTGTCCTGCGATGTCTCTCTCTGCTGCCTAGGAGCCCTGCGTGGCCACGGCCAAGTTATAAGTATGTGATTATGCATGCTGGGGTTCCCCCGGCCCCTTTGTTGCTGCAGAATCTGTCCTAGCAAACAAAAGTGCACTGGATTAGCCACAGTGGATTAAAAGATTTGCTTCTTAGAGTTTACCTAATAACCAAACAATTGTGCTGACGGAGGCTTTGAACCTCTGGACACACTCACCAGGCCATCTGGGAGCTCTTGGCCTGTGGGCAATGGGATAGGGGTTGGGGTCATAATAAGCAGCCACCACCCGTTGTCACACCCAGCTCTGTCTGTAGCTGGGCCTGTGCTCTTGGCTCTTGCCAGGCCCATCTGGGCTGAACTAGGTGATGGGACCAGGCTCCAGGAGAAGGTAGTGGCCCAGGTAGAAGGAACAAGGCCCAACCAGGACCCCCTTCTAGAGGGCTGGTGCATGAAGCAAGGTGTGGGTGATACAGATCAGGCCTTGCCTGCACCCAGCCTGTCCCCCCCAGCATGTCCATATGTCACACAGCACCAAGGATACAGCAACATGGAGGGTAGCTGTGGTGGGCAGGTGACACTCCAGGCTTCACCATGCCGCGGTACACGGCCCCACTGCAGTCGCCCCACTGCAGTCACCCCACGGTGCACGTTCCTACACACACACATACACACAAGCGTGTCCCTCTTTGATCTCCAAAGGCACTCCATTTACAAGCTCTTAATCGCAGCTGTCTTTTCGGGGCCTGTCCTCTGAAGTCCCGAGTAATGGGATTTGGTGCCTCTGATCCATCTTGAGCTGGCCGCTCCCCATTATAGGTGGACATTTTCCCCTCGTTTTTNCCAAAGGTTTCTCCCAGTGCTGGGAGCTCTCCCACCCCTCTGCAAGTTCTTTTCCCTCCACCTGATGCATCTCATTCAGTACCCCCTCCCCCAAGCCTGCACAGTCCCAGGGACCAGGGGAAACCTCTAGAGCTCATAGGTAGGTGACTTCATGATGGAAGACAGGCCAGCTGCCCTCACCCACAGCACATGCGCCTCCAGATTGGCCTGCACACACCCCTAGCCCCTCCACTGCCCACCCTGCACTTTGCTGTCCTGCGATGTCTCTCTCTGCTGCCTAGGAGCCCTGCGTGGCCACGGCCAAGTTATAAGTATGTGATTATGCATGCTGGGGTTCCCCCGGCCCCTTTGTTGCTGCAGAATCTGTCCTAGCAAACAAAAGTGCACTGGATTAGCCACAGTGGATTAAAAGATTTGCTTCTTAGAGTTTACCTAATAACCAAACAATTGTGCTGACGGAGGCTTTGAACCTCTGGACACACTCACCAGGCCATCTGGGAGCTCTTGGCCTGTGGGCAATGGGATAGGGGTTGGGGTCATAATAAGCAGCCACCACCCGTTGTCACACCCAGCTCTGTCTGTAGCTGGGCCTGTGCTCTTGGCTCTTGCCAGGCCCATCTGGGCTGAACTAGGTGATGGGACCAGGCTCCAGGAGAAGGTAGTGGCCCAGGTAGAAGGAACAAGGCCCAACCAGGACCCCCTTCTAGAGGGCTGGTGCATGAAGCAAGGTGTGGGTGATACAGATCAGGCCTTGCCTGCACCCAGCCTGTCCCCCCCAGCATGTCCATATGTCACACAGCACCAAGGATACAGCAACATGGAGGGTAGCTGTGGTGGGCAGGTGACACTCCAGGCTTCACCATGCCGCGGTACACGGCCCCACTGCAGTCGCCCCACTGCAGTCACCCCACGGTGCACGTTCCTACACACACACATACACACAAGCGTGTCCCTCTTTGATCTCCAAAGGCACTCCATTTACAAGCTCTTAATCGCAGCTGTCTTTTCGGGGCCTGTCCTCTGAAGTCCCGAGTAATGGGATTTGGTGCCTCTGATCCATCTTGAGCTGGCCGCTCCCCATTATAGGTGGACATTTTCCCCTCGTTTTTGCTTTTTAACTTTTTTTTTTCTTCTCGAAAAAATATCCCTTAAACCTCACTAACGTGACATGGTTTGTCGCCTACCCCTGGGAGTGGTGGCTGGGAGAGGGGCAGGTGGCTGTTATGCCAAGGGCCTGGCCAGTTGGGGGTCTTTGATGCCGCCTCCATGTGAAATCTAATGTGAAAGACCATGAGAGCGATTTTCGGGACCATGGTGCGGTGGATTCATTCTGCCTCGTGCTATTTCCTTTGTCTCTCTTCCCATGACCCTTCCGTGGGGCACTTGGGGAGAGGGTCTCAGGGTGAGGGTGCGGGTGTGCGTGTATGTGCATGTGAGGGTGCAGAGGGCAGGGTGGGCTGAGGGCAGGGCCTCGGCCATAAGAACAAAGGGCAGCAGGGAGCATGTCCACCTGTCCATCCGTCCATCCGTCTGCCCGCCCGGCTTACCTCACCTGCCTGGCTCTGTGTGCCTGCTCACGCCCCGCCATCCTGCGGTCCGCCATGATGGGCTTGGCCGTCCGTCTGAGCACTTTCAGCCACTCCAGGAAGCGAGTCCCTGCTCTTGGCCACTGTGTGGCTGGGAGGAAGAAGCGTGACTCTAGGCTGCAGCTCGGGCTCCCACCGCCGATTGGCTGAGGCAGGGACCAGATGACGGCCTCGGAACCCTATGGTAGCCATGGCAACCAGCCCCTTTAGATACCGCCACCCCCAAGCCACTCCTGACAGCTGAGGGAGCAGGCAGCGCCGCTGATGGGTCCACGCCAGGGTCCCCTCAGAGGGTTGAATCAGGCCTGGCTGGATGGATGGTGGCTGTTCCTGCACCAGCTGCTAAGTGTTTTCGTGTGTGTGTTTCATGAATGTCCAGTGTGAAAGGTCCCTCTCTCTGGACATGTCCCAGGCTGCTCCATACCCTGCCTGACCCCCTAGTGGCAGCAGAAACAGTGTCCTCTGCAGCCCCTGCGAAGAGGAGGACTTCAGGTTAGGCTTGCCCCAGGGGCTGAAGGCCAGGCCCAGTCTCATGAGAAAATAATGGGTGAGAGCAACAGGAGGAAGAGCACAAGGAACTGCACAACCCAGGTGGATAGAACCAAGCTTTTGATCCACCTGAGACCCCAAAGGCCTGCCAGCTCTATCTCTGCCTGCCAACCTCTCCTCTGCACTTTCATTAGTCTATTGAACACACAATCACAATTACACAGTCCCCTCTCAGCCTTCAGAGGCCCCGGCATGGCTCTGGTGCCCACAGACCTGTGTCTCCACCTGTAGGACTCTGGGACTTTGGCCACACTAAGAAGACACTCTCTAACCCTGCAGAAACTGGCCAAACACCTGTGATCTTGCACCAGCTCTTCCCTTGACCTACACCCCCAGACCCTTTGGTGAGGCCTTCCCAGTTTTAAGACCAGAACTTCTCAGCAAGGACACAACACAGCATCACTCCTTGGTTGCAGAGCACAGAGCAACCAAGAGCTACTCACATCTCATCTCTGTGACAGCCCCTGGCCTGTCCAAATGCTCCTGGGATGAGCACTACCCGGTCAAGGCCCCAAGGCGGCCACCTGGGAGCCCAGCTTCCTGGCCTAAGCCCAGCCCACTCCTGCTAAACACAGGGTTGCATAAGGAACAGCTGCAGGGCTGCAAGGAGTAGGTGTAAGCCTCAAGCCCTTGTAAAGAGGCCAGGACTGAGGCTGGACCCTGTGGGCGCAGAGGATACTGAGGAGGCCACTACCAAGGCCCAAAGACCAGGACATAAGGGGAGCCTGGAGAGCCTGGAACACAGAACAACAGGGGTCACACACCCGAGGGAAGGAACTCAGAGCAGGCCAGGCTGGACCCAGGGCCACAGCGCAAAGAGGCTGCTCAGGTAGCCCCCTGAACTTGCTCACATTTCACACTATCCCCACCCCAAGCAGCCTAGTCACAGGATGGAGCCCCCAGTTTCTGCAGGGCACAATGCCACCAGCAGATAGGTCTTATCCAGGGGTAAGGCCTGGATCAGGTGACAGTGATATAGGGTCCTGGGCCTGAAGCTCCATTCTGAGGGTCAGGATGAGCTGGGGAGGGCTCTAGTGTGCTGTGGCAGAGTGCAGGACAGGACAGCACGGGGATGAGGCCTCTAAGGGGGGTCATCTAGACTTGGGCTCCAGCTTAGGGGCGGTTGGTAGGTGGGAAGAAGAGGGGTTTAAGGGAGTCTGGAGTCTACAGAAGGTTCAAGGGGATGGCAATGGATGGTGAAAGTGAAGACAAAATTCAAGCACAGGCTCAGGGAAGGGCAGACGGTGCACATGGGTGGGCCTCACAGTGGCTCCTCTGAGCTCCCAGCACCCTGATGGGACCCAGGGAAAAAGGTGCCTAGGCCTCACCTGCTCTTTCCACATGGACCACCATGCAGCCAGTGTACACCAGAGTAGGACTCAGGTAACACCCTCAGGATGAAGAGTCAGGAGCAGAGCCCTGCACTCGGCCCCACCCTGCCTGGAACTCAGACACCAGAATGAGACAGTGGACATAACATGGTGTTGATGGCCACTCTTTTGTTAGAGGCCTCTATAGCCCCAGTCCCAAGGGACCCTGCCCCAGTCCCAAGGGACCCTTCCCCAGTCCATAGCTACAGTGATGGTCTGCCCTGTGTCCACAGAACCAATCATGGCCCTTGACAATGGTTGGGCTCTGTTGCCATGTAAAACATGGGCTCAGCTACTCCCTGGGACACTTGGGGATCAAGAGAGCTCCTAGATGGCTGGGCAGGGTCCAACCCAGCAGGTACAGGGATAGGGGTGTGGGCCAGTGTAGGCAGGTCTTGCTTCTGCAGGTTTGACCTTGGTGAGTACAAATGACCCCCCAATCTAGGGGCCTGAGGGGCTACAGAGCCTCATGGAGGTAGAACTGGAGGCTCTCAGAAAGACAGACACAGCAACAGAGACTGGCAGAGGTATGGTTGATGGGGCTGAAGAAATGAGGAAGGGAGCTCGGGAAGCCTGACCAGGGCCTGGAGGGGGGAATATATGCGGGGCAGGGACATGTGGCTATATGGGCTCCAATGGCTCAGCTCCTGGTTCTGTATGACGTGTGAGCACATACAGTCCATGTCCCCCTCCACACCCCCACCTCTTGGAAGGTGGAACAGTATGGTGGATCCAGCCTGCCAGTGGTCTGTCCCAGAGCTGGGTTATCGTTTATTTGTTGTGGGGGATGACTCTGTCAATCACTGAGGGCTTCTTAACCTTTGCTGAATCAAGGGTATTTGTGAGAATTTGAGAAAACAAATGGATGCTGCCTCCCTCCAGGAGAGAGCTCATGTTTCAGAGATCCAGGGCCAAGGCCACACTCAGACCGCCACCTCAGTAAGCCTCAGGTTATGGAGAAGTGAGTGACCTGCTGAAGCCAAGCTAAGCTCTTCCCAATGGCCAGCAGCACCAGAAGCCATGGGAGCAGAGCCAGCCAGGACTCAGACACTCTCCCCTGTCCCACCAATGCTGACAGGGAGACCGGCGCCCAAGTTCACCCCAACCCTGCACCAGCACCAGGTCCCTTGGGGACCGCAGGAATCTGACACGAGCCCTGCAGGTCCTGGCAGGAGCCCCCTCTACTTGTGGCCTTCATTGGGGTGGAAAGCAGGTTAGTGAGGGGTAACTGAGAGCCAAGATCAATGAACTGGGGACATCAGGGGTGCAACCACAGTGCAGACTGAGGTGGAAGGCTGAGGGGCTGAAAAGGGATCAGTTTGATTTAGTTCAGGGCTGATGGGAATTGTGATGTGGACATGAATATGGGGAGGGCTGGCTCGTCTAGAACACAACCAATCTGGCTGAAGCCAAGTGGGCCATGCTGGTCCACCAGAGCTGGGGAAGGGACAGGACAGGGTGGGAATTGCCAGCTTTTGGTAAAATCCTTTAAATATTAAAAACTGTTCACAACGTAGGGACATTATATGAGAAATCACTGGTGTATGGAAAGCATGAGGAGGTAAGAGTGTGGGACTGTGACAGTGTACCCAGCTCTGGACAGAGATCTGGTGATACACACCCCAGGGCTCTGACCCCAAGGCAGGCAGGCCCTGACCCTCGATGACCTCATGAGCCATGGGATTTGTAGGGCTCTCCTGCAGCTGTGCCCACTGACCAGCCATGCCTACTGGCCAGCTGCACGCTGCCTCTGGCCTCTGGCACCAGGAACACAGGCCAGGTGTTGTTGCTTCCACATCACCTTCCAGGGGAGCCCAGCACCCCTCAGCCAGTTGTCAGGACCAAGTCAGGGGAACCCCTCCCTGTGCTCCCAGAGACCTGAATGGGTCTCAATGATGGACTTCCAGGTAAGGGTAGGGAAGAGGGCCAAGGCATCCCCAAATCTCAGAGCAGGAAAGGCGTCAGAGTGACTGGCCCAAAATCAAGTGTGGGTCAGCTAAGGAGGGGACATGCAGGTTGCAGGCCCGGGTGGCTGTGCTGACAGAGGTCCTGACTAAAGGCTTTCCCTGCAAGACACTGCCACCTGCAGTGCCCTCTGAGGGCCTCTGAACCTCTGAGTTGGTGGGAGGTGTTCACCACACCAAAGGGCATGCCAGCATGGACACTTCCCGGTCACTCCCAAAGCCAGGCCATAGCCTCCCTGCCTCTGCTCTGGAAAACATCCAGAACAGGCAGGATGTGCAATGTGGAGAGGCCAGCAGCATCCTAACTTACTGCAGAACACCCTCAACTTCTCAGGATTCTCTCCCAGAGGATAGAAAACCATCGAAACAAATCTCAGCCCCACAGCTCAGCTGGGGACCACCACCCATCTCAGCCATGTCCAGGGTTTCTGGGGCGAGGGAGTGATGGGGTCAAGGGATAGCAGAAGAGCTCCAGTTCTCCGAGCAAAGCAGCACACACATGGCCTTGCTCAGACTTTACTTGTGCTACCCCCAAAATGTGGTGAACCTGCCTCAACTGGGCCTCCACTGCAGATGGAGATGGGACCTCAGATGCAGCCAGAAGGCCCCAGGCCTTTGGGGATCCTGAGACGAGAGGCCCATTAGGGCCTCCACAAAGTCCACCCAGCCAGAAGCTCCGCAGCCAGTACGCACAAGAACGGTTCACCCACTGCCTCAAGTGGCTCTTGTCACCACCCCAGACTATGTCCATGGTGCCAAAGGGCAGAGGGGTGGAGTGGCTGGGGACAACAAGGGACACTGAGCCTGGCTATCAGGCACGGGTCAGTCACTATGCAGTCACTTCCCGCTGGCTCTCTTCTGCACCACCGCTGGCTCAGACAGTGCCTGCTGCTGAAGCTGCTCAATTAGCTCTTCCACGTAGACCTTGAACAGAGGGACAGGGTCCTACAGGGGCAAGATGGGGTCACAGTAAGGCACTCTTGGGAGGGCAGAAATCCAGCTGCCTTTAGCCAAACACCAAAAGGAACTGGGCATGAGAAGACTGGGCCCCTCAGGCTTGGCCACAGAGTGAAGTGAGGCTGCTTGCCACCCTTTAGTCCCCAGTCCAGAGGGTAGTGTCCTGTCCATGAGACAGGGACCACCTTCCCTTGGGAATGCAGGAATCAGGTGCCTGCCCCTGGTTTCCCTGCCTTGGGGACACAGCTAAGCCAAGCAGAGGGAAGAGGGGAAGCCAGCTGCTGTGCCATGGGTAGAGGCTCTCTGTCCCAGCAGCTACCACAGGCTCCACACCCTCCTAGGGGACAGACACAAAAAGGTCTTAACTGGGAAGACCCTGGGGGATGCTAAGTGGCCAAGTAAACCAACAGTGCCAAGATTCCAGCTCTTATCACCAAGAGTCTTTCTGTCCCTGAACTTTGAAGTGGGCCAGAGGGAGCAGGAGACGGTTAGGACCATGAGGGGAGGAAATGTGCCACATGGAATCCACAGGACTGTGGCTCCAGCTGGGGAGCTGGGCAGAGGCAGCTCTTTCCCAAGTCCCCCTGGTGTGACAGCCCCTTGTCCAAGCTACCCACAAGGCAGTACACTTCCCCCCACCCCATTAGCTTGGTCGCTGTGCCCACTCAAGTGGGCAGAGCAGTTGGCACTCACACATGCTCACCTTCTCCTCCAGAAGTCTCTGCTTCTCCACAGCTTCATCCAGTGTCAGGCCAACCCACTCAGCCTCCTCCTCCGGGATGACAAACTCCTGGGCAGGTAGACAAGGGGCAGGTGGTAAGGCCAGGTAGTCAGTCACTAGAGCCCATGAGGAGCAGGAAGTCCAGGCCCAAACCCTCACCTTATACTTGTCATAGATGGCTGCCCTCTTCTCAGGGTCATCCGGGTGCAGCTGGGGGTCCCGTCGGGCAAGCCGCAACAGCATCCCTCGCTTCAGGTCCATCCCAAACTTGGAGCACAGGTCCTCCTTCGGGGTCTGGCAAAAAGCTATGTATGGGGACCCCAAGTGCTGCTGGCTGGGTCCCACCCACCCTGACAGTCAGCCCTACCCAGATCATTCCTAGCAGCTGGCAGCCCCCAGGCTAGAACAGAGGAAGAGCCAAAAGCAGGGAAGGAGAGGGCCATGTTCACTTGGGCCCTAGAGGGCAACACAGCCACCCATAGCAACAAACTCTCCTGTGGGCAGAAAGCCCCAACTGGGGCTGCCCAGAGAGGGGCATGGTCCCATTCACATTTTACTGGTGATCCTCTACTCCAGAGACCAGTGTGTCCCAGTGGGTGCTGTGATCTAGCCTCCCCTCTCGACTGGACATCAGACCCTCTTGCCTTCAGGATGTAGAAGTCAAACCCATAAGCTTCATCGATGAGGTCCAGGGTGCGCATAGTCACAGTCACAGAGAACTTTGTGTCCAGGATCTCACTGTAGAGCTCGCGCTGAAACAGCTGTGGCTTCCACAGCTTCTTCACCCTCTTTGAGAGCTGAGAAAGCAAAAGTCCTCATGAGTATTGCTGCTCCTCCCAACAGACCCAAGTTGGGCCCAGGGCATAGAGACTTTGGACATAGACCTGGTTGCCTATCCAGAAGTCAGCTTCTCCCCAGTCAGCTTGGCATCCCAGATTTTGCCGAGGTTGCTAGTGTGTGTTCCAGATACACTACATACAGAATCATAACTCCACGGTTCATCACATTCCACACCAGGGACCAAGAAGGCAAAGGGAGATGCCAGCCTGGGAGGCCTCCTCAAGAGGGCTCAGCAATCCCTCCAAGTATATCACCAGAGGCAACAGGTGTTGGACACAAACTTGGGAAACATGCTCTCAGGTGAGTGTCTCAATCTTCCAAAATGCAATGAGGAGGTGGTAGTGCCAGCGTTGTATCAGAAGTGTCAGAGGCAAACTATGGCAATTCAAGCTGACAGATGACTGCAGACCCCTTTCTACCTCCTCCCGCCGCCTCTTCTCAACACACAGGTCTCCCCATTCTTACGCTTGATCTGGGTCACAACCCCAGGGCCTCTGCACTAGCTTTTCCTGAAGTGGACCACCCTATCTCAGGATACCCAGGTGGTTCCACAGAGTAGCGGTCCCTGTAATTGTGTCTTTTCATTCTAGCATGATCCTTTGAGGGAGCTGTCTCCACCAGACGGTAAGCCCTCCTGGGACTGGCCGGTCTCCCTTTTGCTCTCCAGTTAACTCCGGAGCCCAGCACGGTGTCCAGAGCAGCAAAACCCCGGGGAATTCCCCCTGAAGCCTGTACTGCTCACCCACCTTGTCATTGTTGACGTATCTGTGGCCCAGGATCCAGCCCTCGCCGCCCCAGAGCCCCAGCTGGGACTCGCGGGGGTAGTGAATGGGAATGGGCACGTCCTCCACGCGCTCCCGCTGCCCATTTTTGGGGTTGATCTTGAACTTGACCCCGTGTGGCCTGTAGTGCACGGGAGTGGGCGTCCGCTTCTCCTCAAGTGAGCGAAGGTAGTGCTGGGGCAGGCGGGAGCAGATGCCCTCCCGCAGCCGTAGCCGCTTCCATAGAAAGACCGGGAATTTGTGCAATGGCATTGCGACCAGCCTGGCAGGAGGCAGAAGACCGCTATCACTCCGCAGCCCGGCTGACCCCCAACCCTGGCCTCAACCCCCACCCCCGTTAATCCGGCCCCCCACCTCAACTCTGCAACGTACTTGACCGCGACTACTACCAGAACCCGCGTACCTCTCGGATTTCCGCGCCCCGCCGGAACCGGAAATTGTGCTGCGAGAATCTTGCTCTTACGCCACTGATTGGCTGCAAAGCCCGTCTGTCTTTCCGTATCCCGCCCACTTTTCCGCCTTTAGGGACCGTGGAAAATGCTGGGGGAGGACGGCTGCAGCTCTAGGCACCATCGTCAAGAGCAGTCCGTTTTGGGCGAGCGACAGCCCAGGGGACAGAGCTTGTCATCTCTCTGATCTACCTCCTTTCCTCCCAGTAGGAGCACAAAAAACAATTTAAACTCTCTTGCCTTGAAATATAACTGTAGCCTCGGCTGAGTGGCTCGGTTGGAGTGCCATCCGGTACAACAAAAGTTTGCGGTTCGATCCTCAGTAGGGGAGCAGAGGAGAGGCCAAGGATCATGTTCATCTCTCAGGTGGATATTTGTCTCTCTCCTTTTCTTTCTCTAAAATCAATAAACGTATCCTCAGGTGAGGATTAAAAAAAAAAGAAATGTAACTGTAGAAGGAGCATTTGAGGTCTTGCTCGCTGGCATTGTCATCAGTTTGGCTCAAATGCTTTTTTTTAAATTGACTTTTTAATAATACGTTTTTATTGATTTTTAGAGAGAGAGGAAGGGGGTGGAAGAGAAACATGGATGAGAGAGAAACCGATAGGCCACCTCCCACATGCCCCGCACCGGTGATCAAGCCTGCAGGCCACAATCAAACAACTGAGCCACACCGGACAGGGCTAAATTGATTTTTAAAGAGAGAGGAGGAGAGGGGGGACAACCGAAACAGCGATGTGAGAGTGAAACATGATCCCCTGCCTCCCACACACCCCCTACCCAGGATGGAGGCAGCAACCCAGGCATGTACGCTGCCCCAGAATTAACCAACAACCCTTCAGTGCCCAGAACTATACTTGACCACACAGGCCAGGGCTCAAATAAAGTTTTTTTTTTTTAACATATCTTTATTGATTTCAGAGAGAGGAAAGGGGGGNACTGAGCCACACAGGCCAGGGCTCAAATAAAGTTGTTTTTTTTTAACATATCTTTATTGATTTCAGAGAGAGATAGAAACATCAATGATTAGAGAGTCATTGATGGGCTGCCTAGCCGGCAACCCGGGCATGTGCCCTGACCGGGAATCGAACTCTGATCTCCTGGATCCTAGGTCGATGCTCAACTGCTGAGCCACGCCCAGCTGGGCTCAAATAAACTCTTAAAAAATTTGAAAAATAGAGCTCTAGCCTGGTGACTCAGTTGGTACAGCATCATTCCATACACCTAAAGGTTGCAGGATCCCTGGTCAGGGCATGTACAGAAAGCAACAGATCAATGTTTCTCTCTCCTCTCCCCCCCCCACCCTTCTCTCTGAACATATATAATTAAATTAAAATATATATATAATTAAATTAACCAATCACAGCAAAATCAGAGTTACATAAAAACAGGTTAATATCTCAAAATTTTTTACCCCCAAAAAACACCCTATATAAATGTTTACCCTTTATAAACTTAAAGAATGCTACAGTGGCCATGTGCAGGGTAACTGGAAGTGGGCAAGGCATCTAGGGAGGACCCAGAAGGGAAGCCCCAAGGGCTCTGACCCTCAGCCTCAGTGACTCCAGCTTCCCATGGCCCTGTACCACACCATTCATACAGACAGCAGCCCCCTGTGCTCTTGCCTTGGGAACGGACAGGGTACTGCTTCTTGGGGCAATCAGCATACCTTACCCTGCTTCCCCCACAGAGGCGGGAGAAAGGCTGGGCCAGGTCATTCTAGCAGCCCCCTTCCCAAACACATGCTTGGGCCAATGCAGGGTGGCAGCCATCATCTCCACTCCTGAAAGCAAAGCAAGAGGATGCTTCTCAGAGAAGGGTCCAGGAACCCAGGGGAAGAGTAGGGACACAGAATTGGGGCAGAGTATACCCTATGTTGCTGGTGCCCACAGAGCAGCTTGGTAACCCCTTCCCCAGGAAACTCTTCTCAGGGACCTGTAGCTTCAAAGGTGAAAACCAAAGGGAGGAGAAGAGCAGGGCACCACAGCCAGAAGCCAGCCTCTCCCATGCCACCACTCATGGCAGCTGGATCCTATGTCCCCCAATGCCCATCAGCTCTCTGGTAGCTATGGTCACCTCTCTCCAGGGCAACTGCATCAACAGGGGGCATCCCCATACCAAGATAGACTGGCATTCAGGGGCACAGCTCCCAGCCTCGGCGGTGTTGGGGGACCAGTGGGAGGTGGGCTTAAGCCTCTTCTGCCTCCCTGGGTCTCACATCTCAGCCTCACAGGGGAACAGGGTGATGGGGGAATCTTTCTCCACATCTCCAATCGTCCCCAGGCCAGCAGAACACAGAGCCTGTCCCCGAATGGTACCTGTGGTTCCAGGCAGCCAGGCCCTGGCCCCAGGGGCCACTGCAGATACCATCTGGGACTTGCAGAGGGATGGGGTCAGTTGGTAGCCAGCAAGCACTAGGGAATTGGGGGGGGGTCCTCTCTTCTGGAGGAGGAAGCAAATGGGTGCGCAGAGCAATTTTATACAGTTGGAAATCCATCTGGACAGGGTCCCTCTCCCTTGGTCCTGGCCCATGGCTACAGAGGTCATCACCAAAGCTGTGGGTGTCCCTGAGTTAGCTACATCATGTCACTGTGTAAAGTTCCTCTTGGTGGTTCTTGCAGATCTGATAGTGGCAAATGAGCTTCTGTGAGTAGGCTCAGCATGCTTGTCAGGTGGTGGAAGCAAGAACGCTGTGCTCCCCGCCAGCAGCATGTGCCAGATGTTGTGGGTATAGTAATAGTTGTCACTGGTCATCATGGAGGAGTAGATGGCCATAGCCATGGCCACAGCAGCCATGGAGATGTCAGGCAGGAAGTAGAAGACCCAGCGTTGCCAGGAGGTAGGGTAGCAGTGGCACCGGTGCCCACAGCAATACACCTAGAGACAACCATCATGAGAGCATTGGCATAGGGGCTGCAGGTGTAGCTCTCAGGGCCCACCCTCAAGTCTGGGTAGCAGGACCATAGATGTGCGATACTTGGAAGGGGCTCAAGAGCACAGAGACCTGACAGGTCCTCAGGCCCGGGCCTCGGCATGAAGCCGCACAAGGCACTGAATGCCAGTGCCAGGCCTCAGCAAATATGGAAGGACTCAGACTCAGGACCAGGAACATGACCAGAATCAGTGGCCAGGCTCCTTTTTTCTAGAGTGGGGGGGCCCATGGGGAGCCAACACTCTCTTAATCCAATTAACAGGAGATGGGGTTTGGGCAAGAGCTCCTTACCCACATGGTGACCATGACCATGAGGGCAAAAAGACAAAGCCCTGCCCGGCCGGGCATGGCTCAGCGGTTGAGCATCAACCTAAGATCCAGGAGATCGAGGTTCGATTCCCAGTCAGGGCACATGCCCGGGTTGCGGGCTCAATCCCCAGGCGGGGGCGTGCAGGAGGCAGCCGATCAATGACTCTCTCATCATTGATGTTTCAACTCTCTCTCTCCCTCTCCCTTCCTCTCTCTGAAATCAATAAAGATATGTTTAAAAACAAAACAAAACACGAAAAGGCCCCATCATATTCCAGACGCCTCTGCGGTCCAGCTGCAAGAACATGGCGAACACCAGCGTGACCAATAGAAGCAGAACCTGAGCAAGATAGAGACAACCACAGGGTTACAGGAACCCCAGGCCAGGGTCATCGTGATGGCACAAGGTCCAGCAGGAGCATGTGGCCTGGGCCTTCTGGTCATCCTATCACCCCACTGCCCCCCAGCACCTCTGACTGCCCGCTTGGAGCTGCTGGCACACTGTTATGCTCCACTGGCAGGGAGGGGACACCCCTCCTCTAGTTACTGATTCATCCTAAGGCACAGCTTAGGCAGGCAGGGCACCGGGCAACATGTCTCCATCAGCCACGCCCGGCTGTGACAGAAAAAGCCCCAAAGTATTCTCAGCACCAGGGACTCCAGGAGCACATCCAGGGGCTTCTCAGGGAGGTCTTGCCTGGGGTAGGGGCTCCAGGCCTCTTCTCTGTAAGAGTTTTGGGGGAGAAGTGGGCTGGGAAGGTCCTTGCCTAGCCCTGTCTCCACCTTCCTTTCCTAGAATCCTCCAAGCAGCCAGCACAGTCCCTTCCTGCCGGAGCCTGCCGGCAGTCGAACGGGAACCTGATTGAGGGGGTGAGGATTGGAAAAGAAAGACAAGAGACAGGATGGGATCGGGAGGGCTGCAGCTCATTCCTGTTGCCAGCTGCCAGCCCCGAGTTTATTTTCTCCACTCAATATATACAGGCACTGTTGATTGTGCTGAATAGCACCCTGCCCCACATTTCTTCCCTTAGCCCGATACTAAGTAATTCCTCCAAGGCCCTACGAATGCCTTTTCAGAGTAAACACCCTGCCTCCTGCAGGAGCTCAGGCCTTGGAAAGTATCCTTATCTCGGCTTCTAATGGGAACTTTTGGGGAGGATAGAGTCCTTGGCTTGGTATGTGGCTTAACTATCCTTTAACCCTTCAGGCCGGGGCCAGCTTCCTAATTAGCCTTTCTAGAATCTAGTGTTGCTTTGGTGCCTCAAGGACTGGGTCAGGGAGCAGGAGGGCACCTCTGCAGCTCACCCAGGCAGCTCCTCTGTGCCTGGGGCCACTAACTCATCCACATCTCCCTGGGGAAGCATTTTCCACTGATACCGTTGCATGGGTCTCTGCAAATTGATAGCTGGGACACTGAATGCAAACCGTTCCCTGTCCCTCGGATGGAGGGGGAGCGGGGGGAGCAGGGCGAGTGCTAGCACCGCTGCCCACCACTCGGGTCAATGCCTCAGAGATTTCTCTCTTGATGGCACTAGGGCAAGCGGGCCTCCCGGGTCTTTCTCCCTGGGCAGCACCTCGCCCGGCGGGTCCTCCCGGGGGGAGTCCCGCCGGCTCCCCACACCTTCCAGCTGGAAGAGGGAGACTGGTCATTACAGAAGATGGAAGGTATCTAATGGCAGCAGCTGAACCTCCTTCTGATTTCTCCCTCACCATGCAAGGGCCTCTTGTCCCTCAGAGCCCAGACCTGGGTGTCAAGAGGTCACTCACTTTTCAGGGCTACCTTCAGCTGTGCCATGGAGAGGATGGTGACCCAGATGGACACTCCAGAGTCCAGGAAGTTGCGGTACTTCAGTGTGTCATAGTTGAGGATGCACAGCACCCCCTCCCTGGGCTGGTCACAGGCATGATAGAACTGCGGGGCAGGGCAGTGAGAGGAGGCCCAGACCTCCCCACCATCCCCAGGGGAGCAGGCGAGCCTACCATGGAGAACATAGTATAGGCGTAGACAGAAGCCTCCACCAGGAGGCAGTGGTGCACGGAGAGGGTGATGGGAGCCAGGAACATGAGGTTGCTGAGGGTGAGTAGGAGCGTGGCCACCCTCTGCTGGGTCACAGTCTGGGCTGGGCTGTTGTCCGTGCAGCTCCACCCACGCCAGCCTGGGGGCCAATGCAATGTGAGGGGGCTGAGGGTGGGCAACTGAGGCCAGGCTTGTGGGGGAGGTACTTCTGAAACTCAGGGCCCACCTCCACCCAAAGCCCTGCAGAGAAGGCCCTTTCTCACCTAGGAGCAGGCTAGGACAGGTATGAGTATGGGTATGTGTGGGGCATGTGTGGGTAGGTATAAGCTAGTGTGGGCAGGGGCAGACACTATGAGGCAGTCATGGGCAGGTGTAAAGAGGTGTGAGGCAGGTGTAGGGATGTGTGGGGGAGATATGAGGCAGATGTGGAACAGGTATGGGGTAGGTGTGTGGCATGTGTGGGCAGGTGTGGGACATGTGTTGGCAAGTATGGAGCAGATGTAGGCAGGTGTGGATCAGGTATGGGACATGTCTGTGGGCCGGTGTGGGCAGGGGAGGCCAAAGTCAGAGGCAGGACCGTCTCTGGGGGTGCCTTTCTGTGAATGCATGTGGCCAGAGAGGGGAGAAGGCATTTGCCCTTGCTCTGCGAGGGTACTCTCCAGCCTTGGCAGATTGGGATGGCTCCTAGAGGAAGGCACAGGGCTGGGTAAAGAGAGGAGTGTCTGGAGGCATCCAGGCCTGGCCCTCACCTGCCTTGCAGCTGCAGCCTGCATATAGGTAGCTATGTCTGTGTAGTAGGAGACACCGGTTGTATGGTTTACAGTCATGCAAGCAGGGCACCAAAGGTCCTGCTTTGGTCTCCACAAGGACTGAGGCCTTCTCACACTCCCTGTGAGGAAGGGGTCACAGGAAGGCTGACTGCCGAGGTCTGTTGACCAGTCCCTGCCACTGCTCCAGTGAGGCTCTTGGACACATGAACCCAAAATTGAGGCCCCCAGGTTCTCAGCCCTGGAGGACAGCAACTGTGAGATCCACAGAAGCCAAGATGCCCCTTCCCCTTCGCACCATACTGCATCCCAGTCTGTCTAGGGCTGTCCTGAACCAGTCCCCTTCCCTGTGTCCTGGCTCCCAGGGCTGCCTGAGGAGGGGTGGCCAGGTGGAGGAGGGAAGTCCCTCTCACTCCTGGATGGCAACTTACACTGTGTGGCTTATAGGAAGCTGGGTCATTTTCAAACTCACATGCAGGCAGCCCAATCATGGTCCTGAATGCAATGATTCAGTCACCCAGCAGGTCTGGATGCCTCCCACTCTAGCCCCCAAGTTTACTTACTCAGGACTCTGAGGACACACAAGCTGCAGGGAGAGGTACCAGTTGTCTATCTCTGGGTAGGGGATGATCAGGTTGGCCTTGCAAGACAAGGTGCTCAAACTCAGGGGATGTCCCTGGAAGAAGGCTGCGGGAGGAGCAGGATGGCCTGGTAAGAGGTGGCCGGAGGAGCCAGATGCTCCTGCCCATACCTGTGGTGCAGTTGAGCAATGTGTTGAAGCTGAAGAAGAGTGAGGCAGCGTTCACGCAGACCATTAACAAGGTGTTGCTGGAAATCATGCTCTGAAAAGGATGGCTGTTCAGTGTCAGCCCTAAGTTCCCAGTCTGATGCTAGGTGCTCTTTGTGGTTCCCACTGGCCCCGGGCCCACCTGGAACCCCTCCCCTCCAAGCCCGGCAATACCCAGCCTCTGATTCTACCCACAGAGTCTCATTTCTGCAAGCACAGCCATCAAACTGATGACAAGGACCTATAAAACAGGCCTCCCTGCCCTGGCTGATGTGGCTCAGTTGGTAAGAGCAGTCTCCTGCACCGAAGGGTTGAGGGGTCGATTCCCGGTCAGGCATATATCCAGGTTGGGGGTTAGATCCCTGGTCCGGATGGGTACTGGAGGCAACTGATGGTTGTTTGTCTCTCTCTCCCCCTCCTCCTTTCCTCTCTCTCTAAAATCAGTGAAAAAAATATTTTTAGGGGAAAATTAAAAAGAACACAAAAAACAGGCCTCCCTTTCTGCAAGTGGTGCCCCTATTCTGGCCCAATGCCTATCGAGGTCACTCTGTTGCCTGAAAGGCCACCCCAACCCAGTGTCCATGATAAAGTCAGTGCAGGAAGGCCTGAGCAGCGTTACTCAGCCTGGGAGGGTCTAAGTCCTGAGCTGAGCAGCTCCTGGGTGTCCTCGGGGATGACGATTCTGCAGCCAAGAGGGATGGCCTCACTCAGGCTCTGTGGCTTCCAATGACCTCCCCTCATCTGTCACACTCAGGGTGGTTGCCCCACTTCCCAGAACCCCAAGACCCAGAACCCTACCTTTTTCACCCACAGTGAGGACAGTGGAATCACCCACTCCATCAAATCCAGAAGCTGGGCCTCCCCAATACCTCCACTCACTTGAGGTAGCTGGGGTGGAAGAGGAGGGTCTGCGAAAAGGGTATGAGGCTCCGGGATGGAGACTTCGGCTACCCACATGACCAGCATCCCAGGCTGGAAGACGTAGGCAAAGGTGGGAACAAAGCCTTAGAAAGAGAATGAGAGGGGGGAGGGGGTTCATAGGCATGGGATGGGGCAGGAGAAGAGTACCCAGACTTGGTGGGGGGATGGGAGGGCACAACTAGAGAGCCTAAGCTAGGGATGGTTGGTGGGGAGGCAGGGCCTTGACAAGGTCTGCCCTGAGGAGGTAAATAACAGGGACCAGCCATTTCTGCACGGATGTGTCCTGCCCCTCCATCCCTGGAAAGTAGACCCCTCATCTTTACCTCAATCTTTTGGGATGAGGGGGGCAGGTAGGCAGCCACAAACCAGTCCCCAGGTGCTGGGTGGGAGATGCTGATGCAAGCATTGCTCTGTAGCATCTTGATGAGGAAGGACGGCTGCATGCAAGTGTTGGCAGGGTAGCTGGTACCCAGTGGGTTGATGACAGGAGGGGCGCCATATTGGAAGTACCTAAAGGTGGGGATAGCAGGGCAGGCATCAGATGTGGGCCCTGGGCTGGGCTCTGGTGGGCAGGCAGGCAGGCACCTACATAGTGATTTCCACATTTGCACATGTGTGGTCGCCACCCTGGGACACTTGCAGCAGCCGGTATCTGGGGGCACTTGGAAGTGGAAGAGCCTGGCGCTGCCATACCAGCTGTAGAAAGACAGCTTCTATGGGGACCACGAGAACTGCTCAGACACCAGCCTGATGTCTGAAGAAGGCACCATCAGCCAGCCCAGGGGTGCCCCGAGGTTGCCCCACCTCCACATTGGGGAACAGATAGAGAAATTCAGAGACCCTTCTGCCCCAGCATGGCCCTAGAGGAAGAGGGAAGCCACGGTAGGCTGGTCTAGAGTCCTTGGAATGCCTGACACTCCAACTTTGACCTTGGCAAAGGTTACTGTCCCTCCAGCCCCTGGCAGTTGTCTCTGGCAATTGGTCCCACTTGACAGGTGACAGAGTCCAGTTCTGGCGGCTGGTTACCTTCTCAGGCCCATGACGATTTGGGACATAGCTGGACTGGAGCCTGAGACCCCCTCACCCAGATAGGTGGCAAGCAGAGACCCTGGGGTAAGGGAACCCCAGGCTGGAAGCCTGGCCAGCTGTGGGGACCAGGGGACAGCTGGCCCCCATTCTGCCCATGGCCTCACCTGGGGCTCCCCATGCCTCAGTCAGTGCAGTGACTCAGTCCCCCACCTCTGTGGCCCCAGCCCCCTGATCCCCTGCCCTACACACTTTAAAATTTTGCCCTCACTGCTCACTTCCTGTCATACCAGCATTTCCTGGAGCAGCTCTCAGGATCTTCTGAGACTCAGCAGAGAGGCCTAGGCTCCACCTGCATTAGGCCCCTCCCAGAGTGTCCACTAACTAGGGCACAACCTCCGTGAGAGCATGTGTTCAGGCCCTACAGGATAATCACCCGCGCCGTGAATGAGTGAGGGTGCCCACCCAGGATCTCCCTCTACTGGGGCTCCTACAGAACAGGCATGTTCTGCATTCCCGTAAATGGACTACCAGAACTGGGATCTGGCCACAAGGTACCTGAGATGGATGGTACCCTTGTGCCTCATGTGACCTTGGGTGCCCCTTCCCCTCTCTGGGTTCCAGTTTCCTCATGATTTGGCCCAGGTGAATACCACCTCCCTTTGGTTGCCCCTCCCCACAACGTTAATGGAAGGTAAAGTGCTTCTGGAAGAAATACACTGTGGGCACAGCAGAGGGCAGCCTCACTCTCCTCCAAGCTAGGGGTGCCTCCCTCTGCCCTGCTAGGAGAGTTGCTGGCTCACACAACCCCAGCAGCAGGCCCTGGGCCCCTTCAGTGTAAGCCAGGTGAGTAGGTAAGGGAGCCAGGTGAGCATCTGGCTCTCCTGCCAGCCTCCTGACCCTCCAATGGAGGAACTTTGAGAAAATATAACAACTCACTTATAGAGTCAGTCTGAGCACCAGAGGAGCCCAACATGGGGGGCTAGGCTCCACGAAGGACACACTCTAGACTTCCCAGGTATCTGCTTGCCACCAGGTCCGACTCACCAGGATGCGGCCTGAGGAGGCTAGAAGCCACTGAACTAGCACAAACTTTTCTTCTGAGNGAAATACACTGTGGGCACAGCAGAGGGCAGCCTCACTCTCCTCCAAGCTAGGGGTGCCTCCCTCTGCCCTGCTAGGAGAGTTGCTGGCTCACACAACCCCAGCAGCAGGCCCTGGGCCCCTTCAGTGTAAGCCAGGTGAGTAGGTAAGGGAGCCAGGTGAGCATCTGGCTCTCCTGCCAGCCTCCTGACCCTCCAATGGAGGAACTTTGAGAAAATATAACAACTCACTTATAGAGTCAGTCTGAGCACCAGAGGAGCCCAACATGGGGGGCTAGGCTCCACGAAGGACACACTCTAGACTTCCCAGGTATCTGCTTGCCACCAGGTCCGACTCACCAGGATGCGGCCTGAGGAGGCTAGAAGCCACTGAACTAGCACAAACTTTTCTTCTGAGTCTCCTACGGCCCCTAGGATAACATGACAAGGGCCAAAAAATCTAAATGCTGAGAGGTGAGACAGGATAGCTCTCCACCCCCATCTCAGGACCATGAGGCCTTAGAGAAACAGTCAGCCAGTACCCAGCCTCTGGATGGGGCCTCAAAGGGGAGGTCACAGAGGAGGTCATGCTGCACTGTGCAGGAGGACTCCTGCAACCCAGCTGGTAGCTGTGAAGTTTCAGCAGGTGCACAAGAGATAAGAGACATGCTCAAGGTCATCCTAAGACCCAGTGGTCCCCACTCCCAGGGCTACATAGCCCCTCCAGCACACCCCCTAATCTCTGCAGCCCCATCTCCCAGCCTAAGTTGCTCACACTATTATCTTGGTGAACTTACCAGGCCACTAACACATCGGTCTAAGCCTAATGTGGAAGTCACATCTCTGATAACAGGGAGTAAGAGCTGCCCTGCCCCACAGTCCCCTCCAAGGACACAGGGTTCAGGGGAAGACAGAGAAAATCCCTGAGCCTATCCTGGGAACTTGAGCGAGGGCACTCTCCAAACCAGGACTGGAACACTCTGCAGAGCCCCTGCCCACCCATAGTTCCCAGAAGCCAGGGCTACACTGCTGCCAGCCCCTTGAGCAGGCCTGGGAAGTGAGGGGCTGCCCCAGGTTTCTGCCCACCAGTGACCGCTTATCCCATGCCACCGCCCAGGATGGAGAAAAAGGAGAAAGTAAAGGTATCTAATGGAGCAACTTAATCAGGAGTCATCTCCGGGAATCCACCTTTCATCTCAAGCTCAGAAACCAAAGGCACAGTCCCCAAAGAAACAGGAGCAAGGTTTCAGAAACGGAGCAGGAACTGGGAGCCTATAAATCAAGAGGAGCTAGTCCCAGGCTGTGCTGGATAAGCCGCCTAACTGCTGGTGGAAAGGGGGCATGTGGGCCCTTGCAGCAGCCCCCTCTGCTTTGCCTCACCGCCCCCTAGGAGTCCCAGGCCATAGGAGTCAGTCAGTAGAGCTTACTCAACACCCCAAGCCCTAGGCAGAGCCCTGATGGGTAGCACCTCCTGGTCTAGCCACCATCTTGGGTAACCAGAAGTTGCAGAAATGCAAATGGAGGGAAACAAGTTCACCGACACCGCTGCAGTCCCCATTTCCTCGGAACCACCCTAGCCCGCCAGGCTCCTCAGGGCCACCTCGTAGTCCCTCCAAGAAGCAACACCAGCTGTTGAAAGAGACTGCACCAGGGTTGGCGATCACTGTGGGAGGAGTGGAAACATGACACCCACCTGGGCCCCTGCTCCAGGATCTACGCAACTTTCTCTCAACTCTGCCCCTTCTCCCCGCCCCACCCTGCAATCGCACTGCTTAGCCCTGCTTTTCAGCGGCCTCTCAGCTGGTGTCTCAGCTGAGTCCCCCTGGACCCCGCCACCCCCACGTCCCAGCGCGCGACCAGAACGCGTTGGAAACAGGAAGAGAGAAGGGAGGGCGCGCTCCAAGGGGGCCCGTCTGGCCGACGAGGAGGGGTCCAACGTGTCCTTGACACCCCGACCCCTCGCACACGCAAGAGACCGACACAAGCCCCCAACACGGGGTGGGGACTTGGGGACTGCACCCGCTCCAGGTGAGAACACAGGTGCCCCCAGGTGAGTCACAATCCCAGGCGCTCCCCCACACAACCACAAGCTGGTGCCCCCGGAATGGCGCTCGCGGGTCGCTGCCCGCTCACCACTCTTACCGCCGACACCAGCGGCGGAAGGAGGGGCCAAGCGAGCAGCAGCAGTAACAGTGGCTCCGCCACCGCCGCACCCTCGGTTCCGGTCCCAGCGCTGCCCACGGCTTTGCGCTCAGCCCGGCACTACCTGGACCGCGTCCCCGGCCGCCTGCCCCCGCCGCCCGGGGCTCTCATCGTCTCACACTCGCGCCCGGGCACCTCCGCCTGCGAGGCCCGGCCCCGCTAGTAGCGGGCGGGAGAGGGGTCGGTGGAACGCGGAGCTAGGGGCTCAAGCGCAGGGGGCGCGCGCGGGACC